ACTATCTACAAACATTAAAAGTTACGTTTTACAACCACTTGAATACCACTTGAGAAAGGCTTTCTTGCCGAAACGCGTCGTGGTACTTCAGATGGACTTAATTTTACCTGTATTTGATTTGATATGTTTTTGAGTTTTTGAGTTAATAAATAGTTTTACTGTGATCCGGTATCCTGGAATATTTTGAATTTCACATCCAGAGATCGCCAGGGATAACTCATCTACATTCTGCATATCAATACAAGGTGACCAGCATAAAAGGTTTCATCTCTAACCAAAGCCCTTAGTCTGAGTCAGCTTACATAAGTGACTCAGAAGCATGTGAGTGTAACCAATTACATATGGTTATTTTATAATTTTAAACAATATTACCCTATGTTCTCTTTTCTCTGCCCTTTTTTATTGTTCTAGCTATATACTCAGGACGATATTGGTAATATAGCTTTTTGCATGTATTGAGCGCTCTCACTATTTTATTATTTCTTATGCACGTTTATTTTGTGTGGTTGAGTGATTCACACTTAGTGATAGTAGCACCAATTTTACTGTTTTTCCCATATTTTTAATATTTTATTATATAACTTACCAATTTATCTCTTAGGAGACACCTGCTGGTAGTTTTTAGTTTTGTTTTTCTTCCCCCTTTTACTTTAGGATTGTTTCATTTTATAATTACCAATCAATTAGGAGTTACCCCCCCCCCCCCACTTTCTCCCCACTACTACCATTGTGTCTCTTCTGACATAGGCTCTATTCTAGTTTTAGTAACGAAATCCTCCAATTAAAAACATCTTATTATTGATTTTTCGGCTCCTCATTCTACACCAAGCATTAATTCACTCATCCCAGCTGGAGAATTCTCCCTCCATTACGCTGCCGTGGATAATGCCATTTTGTGGGTAAGCATGCTTGGCTAAGCAAGACGGACATCTCTAATGCATTCAAGCTGCTTCCAATTCACCCGTCCCTGTGGTATATTGATGTTATTAAGTGGAGGGAAAATTACTACTTTTACACTAGATTGACTTTTGGCTCTAGGAGCAGTCTGAAACTATTCAATATTTTCTCAGAAACACTTTGCTGGCTGCTCCTTAATGTTGTCCGCTGTCCCACGGTGATTCACTATTTCGACGACTTTCTACTGGTGGAATCTGGTACACAGACAGCTAAATTTTGTTATGTGAAACATCCCGCAGGGTAGGGCGTTTATTTCCAGGCTTCTTTGTCTCCTACCTGGCTTGTCTGGTGCCACCGTTCTCCTAGATCCCCAGTCAGAGCTAATTTACACATGTGGCACCATGTTCTCTTATCTTGGAATGGTATTTCTATGTTTATCCCACCTCTTTCTCACCTACCACCCTTTATCATGACTGACGCGGCAGGCCATACGGGGTTTGCCGCAGTGTTGAGGAATTTTTGGTTCAGGGGTTCTTGGACAAATGAGACCCTCTCCTTCACAGCCTTCAAGGAGACCTCTGCCCTGTTCAAAATATACCCCATAGTAGCAGCTGCTCACACTTGGGGTCATCCTTGGACCATTAGATGTCTTTGTTATAATGTGGCGGCTTGCAAAATCATCAATAAGGGGCGCTCATCGCCCGTGGCTATCATGAGACTGGTCCAAAGATTGACTTGGCTTCCAACCCCATTCCAATTTTTTTCTCTGTTGTGAACATATCCCAGGTGTTGATAACAGATTGGCTGACACCCTGTCACAATCTCAATTTCAGGTGTTTTCATGACTTAACCCCACTGCAGACAGGTTCCTGTCCAGAACTCCACTATTCCAAAAGCTTGTGATGGACTAGCCAGTCTTCTTTCTCAAACACAATCAGTATCACATTCTGCACTTTCTGACAACACAACGACGGCTTATGATAGGGCTTTAACAGTGTATAGAAGGTTTGCCATGGAATTCCACATCCAGGAGGATTTTTCCATTGAATCCATGGTAGCTTTTTTTTTCTTTTTGCCACCTTCATCTTAAATTAGCACACAACATGATTAAACTTTATCTCACGGGAATTCAACATACTCACTACCTTTCCCAATCACACACCTTTTCTCTCATCTTATCCTATCAAAAGTATACTAATAAAACAGATAGACCCCCTACTTCTTTACTAATAGATGGTCCCATACTCTGAGCTCTCAGTGATTTACTAGACACTTGACCATTTGACAACCATACTAACTCAGTTATTAAAACTGCCATGTATATATTTTTCTACGGTTTCCTCAGACCAAGAGAGTTTACAGTAGCAAGACAAACCAACATTATTTCAAGCCTTAAAATATCAGATTTCACGCAATACCATGATCACTGTATACTTTTCCTACAAACCTCTAAAACCAACTACACTAGTCAGCCATCCACTACAGGGCCAGATTAAGAGCCCACTGGGCCTGGTGCTGACAATTATGACGGGCCTAATTACAGAATCATATCGACCAAAACCAGTAAAACACTCCCAAGCGTCATGTATCTGATGGAGATGGTGCTGGAGAGATAGAAAACAGCAGCTATAAGAAAACACATACCCTAGGCTAATCTCTCTCTAATTTATGTTTTCATCTTTCAAGTAAATCCATAACCCCTAACAGCAGTGTCCAGTCAAGCAGGAAGGTAAAAAGGTGTGCCATTGACACAAATCACATAACCTGCCAAAAGGGGCGAACATGCCCAAAAAGAGGACATGTCTGCCCAAAGAATTAGAAGGCCAGCCTGGCATGAATGCATGTCAGGCTGCCTGCCAATCATGCAGCTGGCCAACTAAGGGCATACTATGCAGACAGCACCCTGAGCTTGGCATAAATGCATCTAATGATGCGCTCACTCAACGCTTTCTAAGGACTGTCCCCTAGCACTCGCTGGTCCACTTGTCTCCTTACCTTCTTAGTAGCAGGCAGAAGCTCCTGGTATATAGTCTGGGACAGAGAAAAGCTGTATGTAGTGAGTGTAAAAGAAAGGCAACATGCCACAGTGTTAGAGAGACCAAAGTCATCATTACCTTAAAGGATCACTATAGGGTCAGGAACACAAACATGAATTCATGACCCTATAGTGTTAACACCACCATCTAGCCCCCCCTGGGCCCCTCATGCCTCCATAAATATAGCAAAATCTTACTATATTTAAGCCTGCAGCTGTAACTCTGCATGCTGTTACACTCATAAAAACAAGCAGTCTGCTGACATCATTAGAAGTGGTGGCCTGATCCAATCACAGTGCTTCCCCATAGGATTGGCTGACACTGACAAAAAGGCAGATCAGGGTCAGAGCCAGCATGATTCAAACACAGCCCTGGCCAATCAACATCTCCTTATAGAGATGAATTTAATTAATGAATCTCTATGAGGAAAGTTCAGTGTCTGTATGCAGAGGGAGGAGACACTGAAAGTTTGGATGCATTTTAGGCAGCCATGACCGAGGAAGGATCTCTAACAGCCATCTAAGGAGTGGCCAGTGAAGTTATCACTAGGCTGTAATGTAAAGACTGCATTTTCTCTGAAAAGACAGTATTTACAGCAAAAAGCTTGACGGTAATGATTCTACTCACCAGAACAAATTGAATAAGCTGTAGTTGTTCTGATGACTATAGTGTCCCTTTAACTATATTCATTGTCAGCCAGTCCACACAAGTTTTGTTCCCATACATCCCTCTTAAGTTTCCATACTTAAGTAAGAGTATGTGAAATGTAGTTAGGGTTGCCACCTTTCTTGGAAAAACATACCGGCCTTACTAATTTGCATAAATAAATATGTATGGGTGACATCACATGATGTAAATCACAAGGAGTGACATAAGAGAAAATGCTGTAAAATCACCCAAAAACTACTTAGTTTGATTCTGCTGTATAGATGGATTCCTCCCAGTGCCCTCATGACTCAGTGCCCCCATGTGTCGATTACTCCAGGTCTCAGTGTTCCTATGTATCAGTGTCTCAGTGCCCCATGTCTCCCAGTGTCCCCTAGTGTCATGTCCCCAGGTCTCCCAGTGATCCTATGTATCACAGTGTCTCAATGCCCCATGTCTCCCTGTGTCCCCATGTATCCCAGGGTCCCCATGTCACTAGGACACTAGGAGACCTGGGGACACGGGGAGACCTAGGGACACGGAGACACCAGTGACACTGGGAGACTAGGGGACTCTGGCTGGGACACATGGGGACAATGGAAAAATAGGGGACACTTGAAGACATGGGGACACAGACACCAGGGACACAGACACTAGAGACACTGGCTGGGGGACATGGGGACATTGAGACATGGGGGGACTGGGAGACATGGGGGGACTGGGAGACCAGGGCCACAGACACTAGGGACACTAGCTTGGGGACATTGTGACACTTGAGGCACTGAGAGACATGGAGGCACTAGGAGACATGGGGACAGTGAGCCACTTTCAGACTGGGGGCACTGGGAGACTAGGGGGCACTGAGACACCAGGGACACTGGCTGGGAGACATGGGGACACTGTGTCCCCATGTGTCTGTGTCATAATGTCTCCCAATGTCCCTTAGTGTCTCAGTGTATGTCTCCTTGCAGCCTTTCCCCCATGCCTTACTTCCCTGAGCTGTAGGCTGTCTCTGCAGGGTGGAAGTTGCTGTCTGGACTCTCTGTAGCTGCACCCCTGCAGATCAGTGAGTATAGATAGGCAGGGAGGGATATGCTGGAACTTCCTATCCCTGCCTGTCTCCACATACAGTGACCCCTACTGGCCAGTGCTGGTATTGCATATTAATCTCTTGTTTAAACTGAGAAAAATACCAGCATTTATATTGCCAGTATCACTGCACTATTGGCACTAGTCAGGCAGCCTCAAATACTGGCTGTGCCAATAAAATAAAAGCCAGGTGGAATCCCTAAGAGTAGTGTGTAAAAAAAAAAATGAAAAAAAAAAAAATTTTTTTTTTTTTAAATCAATGGGCCTATTCCATGGGCCTGGGCATGGGCCTGGAGCTGCAGCTCCGTCAGCCCCTATGTTAATCCGGCCCTGATCCACTATCCCTCACCGAGAACAAATGGTGCCCGTTAAAAATACTTGACTCCTACCTGGCCACACTCGATCATATCATATATAATTTATCACTTCTCTCACTTCAGAGGTTGCCCCTTACCACTGCTAAATTCATCTTCTATATCAGAACCCTACTCCTGAGATTAGGTTTCAATCCAGCATCATTCTCAGGACATTCATTTAGAATAGAGGCCGCTTCCGCCACTTCCAGTACTGACACTCCGGTGCATATTATCAAAAGATTGGGGAGATGGAAATCCTCAATCTACAACCGATATATATTCCTCATCCAGAGAAAGAAATGAGGAAAGTTTTTAAAAGTCTGGTTCTGTAAAATTACTGCAATAAAGTGTGTTTTCTTTGATACCTTTTTTCCCTTTTTTATTACCGGCATACCTGACCCCAAATATATATATATATACACACACACACACACACACACACACACACATTTTATATATTTTATGCAGTCTTACTAATGACATTGTGTATGTTTTATTTGTATCCAAAAAGTTAGCAGCAATTTTGAGTATATAGGATATATTGCTCTTATTTGTTTAGAAAGATGCTGTGAGTTTGGCCAAGAAAATAGACAATTTAAAAAGGTTAGTTTTTCTTAGTTATCACAAACAGGAAAGAGGTACATACCCAGAATCTTAGCTAAGGGCTTAAAGAGTCACTTCAACCAAAAACAGTGCCTTCATTAAACACTGTTTTGGCTAGAGTAATCATTTTTGTCCTGGTCTGCCTCCCCTTTTATAGCGAAACACTGCACATACAAAGTCCAGACACCCTGTCCACTTCAAATCACAGACGTGGTCATGGTACTTGGACTATCCTTTTAGGTCACAGTTGTTTGGTGACCTAGCAATGTCTGTACTAAAGTCAATGTGTTAGATGACAAGGACCCCAGTAGTAATGAACTCACATTTGCTGTGAACTCCAGTATCTATGCTTTGGGTGTATTTCAGTTGTTCTATGCCATGCCAGTCTAATGAGTCACTTGCATTGCTGCTGTCATTTTTGCCTACTACCCATGGTTTCTAGTTACGCCTCTGCTGCTTGACATATACCAGACTTGGTTTCAAGAGTGTTACCAAGTTCCAGAGCCACCTGGAGCTTAAGCCCAAAGCAAACCTTAATGACCCCTAATGTAAAAGGTAGAAATATGTTTTGACCCATCATCTGGACCCCATGCTGCTGATGATCTCAATGAAAGTATAGCTGAAAACAAGCACATGATGCGCAGAAAGGTATTCAATGTCATATCAACATACACGCTAGCTAATAGAGGGTCGTGCAACTAATTTCTGTTTCCCCATTACCCTCTCCTGGCAGTCCCCTGGAGGCTAGTATACTAGTTGTCTCTCTCTCTGTCTCTCTCTCTTTTTTTTTTTTTAACAGGAAGCAACTTTAAGAATCTTCTGCCTGACTTAAAATTGTAGATTATACTAGCTTTAGTGTAACTATAATCTTAATTGTATTAATGACAGGAGGCAAATATTTGCTTAAGTCTCTCTTTACTAGAACTCCACAGCAGCACATTAACATAGAGAGAAAAACACCAAAGACAAAAAGTAAGGAATCCATAAAAGGCTCCTCCCAACCAACTATTTCCTCTTTCACGCTGCGACAAAATAAGGTACATCACTATATAACATTAATAAAATAACGGAAGAAACAAATATATAACATTCTGATGAGTGCTATCTGAAATAGAACGTGGAACCAGTGGATGGAATCTTGATCTTTATCCTGCAGGATAGTTGGATCTAAGAACTGTAGTCGAACCATTAAACTGAAACGAGATAAACAGAGTCGAAAACACTGATTAGTGAATGAAATGTATTGAGAAAACATGAGTTCCCATCCTCAAATACTGACAGTACAATAACCCAGATAAACACCCAACTCCCCTAGGAATATAACCAGATTAACAACCTAGCCCAAGAGACTAGGCGAATAAACAGTAGATCAGTCAAAACAAACCAAACAAGGGGAGTGAGAAACTGGGAGGGAAATATTCGCCTCCTGTCATTAATAAAATTAAGATTATAGTTACACTAAAGCTAGTATAATCTACAATTTTATAACATGACAGGAGGCTTCATATTTGCTGTTTTAATGCTCTGACAGCAAAGCAAAAGCAGCATGATCCCATGGTCTAAAATAGAATTGGCAAAATGTATCCCCACGGGACCAGTGCACCAAATGCATAATGTCCTAGAGGGAAGCGCCTGCCATGAAAGCTCCGGAAGTTGCGGCGCCTCTAACTGAATGCACCCCGAAGGTCGAATTCACCCCCACCAACGTCAATAACCATTTTATCCACCGAGTCAGGGTAGGCGACAAGACCAGTTTGTGGGGTCTGACATACAAAATCAACAACTGGCAGGAGTGAGCAGACCGAAGCGGAGCGGTAATCGCCACATAACTAGTCAGAGCCTTCGCTACACAGAGTTTTGGCGAATCCCATAAATAAGTGTAAAAAACAGCCGTCGAATCTGACTTGGTACGTCTAACAACCTTGAACGTGACTCCCTCCGGAAAAAGGAAAAGGCAACGACATCGAACGCCTGGACATCAGAAACACGTCTGAACGAGAAAAGACACAGTAAGAGGGCAAATTTGGCCGAAAGCTGACGAAGGGGAAAGGTCCTGATTATCAGGCCAATCCCGTAGGAACGATAAAACCGTGCGTACTTCCCAGAGGGAGGAATACTTGGGCACCGGTGGTCGTGCCAGCCTCATCCCACGAAGAAGTCTGCAGACTAGCGGGTCCTGGCTGATGGGAAGACCTCCGAGCGGGACATGCGCCGCTGAGATTGCCGACCTCACCACATTAACTGAACGATACGATCGTCCCAGGTCGAAGAGGTGAGACAAAAAATTCAGCACATTAGTTACAGGGCCTGTAAAGAGATCGGTATCCCGTTCCAGGCACCAACGACATGCTGAGAGATAGCATCTTCTCGTCCTGGGGGCCCAGGAATCCCAGAGAAGGTCTTTAGCTGATTGCGATAATGCTTAGACATTCCTGGTACACCTGAAAGGGTCCAGGCCACCAAGCGCAGGTGGCTGTCCCTCACTAGGGGGTGCGGATTGCCCCGAGAGTCCGAGAGATCCCAATGGGAGAGATCCAAGAGCTCCGGAAACCAGGCTTGACTTTGCCATATAGGAGTCAGCAACACCAAAGACACACGCTGACGTCGAACTTGCAGCAATACCCTGGGAATCATAGCGAACGGAGGAAAAGCATACGCTCCCTGCGAAGGCCACACTTGGCGAAAGGCATCTACCGCTGAGCACGCTGGGTCCTGGAGCCAGCTGAAGTAAGTCTGGATCTGATGGTTCGTCCTGGAGGTAAATAGATCCACCGTGAAAGGGCCCCTCTGATTCGTAAGTCCGAGAAAGATGGCCCAAAGGAGTTTCCAATCGCTGGCGTCCCTCCAATGTCTGGAGAACCAATCCGCTGTCAGATTCGACTCCCCCGGTAGATATTCCGCTTTTCGAGCGATGTTGCATTGGAAGCAGAAACTGTAGATCTCCTTTGTCACCTCTGACAGTGTTCGAGACCGAGCGCCCCCAGGCTATTGATGTACTGTACCGCCGAGACATTGTCCATCCAGAGGAGCACGCAGCAGTCCGAAAGGTGGTTTGCCAGGCTCCGAATCGCAAACGAACCTGCAATCAGTTCCAGGCAATTGATGTGGAGCTCTGATTCCCTTTACGACCACGGACCCCCCGTGGACCCGGTCGCACAGGTGGCACCCTAACCCCAAAGACTCGCATCCGATTCCAACACGAAATCCGGTGTCGGTCCGAATATCGCTTTGCCGTTCCAGGCTGACATGTGCAGGAGCCACCAGCGTAGTTCGGTCTTCACGTCCGGGGACAGAGGGATCATCTGGTCGTAGGAGGGTCTCTTGCATAAAAAACGAGCCTTCAGTCGTTGCATGGCACTGTAGTGAAGCGGACCTGGGTAGATTGCCTGTATAGAGGTAGAGAGAAGACCCACCACACGAGCTAACATTAGTAGAGGGATCCGGTCTTGCCACAGGATCCTATTTATTTCCTTCCTTATGGTCGCTATCTTGGCCAGTGGCAGACGAAGAACACAGTCTTTCACATCCACTTGAAAACCAAAGAAATCCACTGTCTGAGAAGGATCGAGGGCTGATTTCTCCAAATAGACCACGAACCCCAGGCGTTTGAATAAGGAGACCGCAGAGCGCATCAGACACTTGAGTCTGGAGGGGTCCTCGCAGAAGATCAGCAAGTCGTCTAGGTATACGATACAATGGACGCCCTCTGATCTGAACCGAGCGACCACCGGCTTCATGAATTTGGTGAAGCACCACGGAGCCGAGCTGAGGCAGAAGGGGAGACAAGTGAATTGGCAGAGGAAACGGAGGAATCTGCGACATTTGTCGTCCACCGGGACGGAGAGGTAAGCGTCCTTAAGGTCCAGCCTTGTGAACCAGTCTCCTGGCCGGAGAAGGTCCCGTAGAAGATGGATGCCTTCCATCTTGAAGTGGTGGTAAACCACCAAAGTGTTCAGTTCCTGCAGGTTGATCACTGGGCGGAATTCTCCAGACTCTTTCCTCACCAGAAAAATAGAGCTGAAAAAACCTCCTGTGTCCGGAGCCCACTGGACAGCGCCCTTGTTGAACAGTGTCCGAACTTCTGCATCTATCAGGACCTGTTGTTCTCTTAAGATGATGGGAACCCTTGGGGGTCCAACCTGTGTCGGAGGGGAGTGAAAATCTATGACATATCCCCGAACGGTCTGAAGGACCCATGCATCCGAGGATACCTCCCGCCATCTGTCCCTGCAGTGAAACAGTCTGCCCACATGCAATAGGGGGAAAGGAGAAATGGCAGGAGTTGTTCTCACCTGAAGAGAATCTTGAACGTCCTCTTGAATGATTCCTTCGACCTCTATCCGACCTCTGTGTGTAGGAGGGTCTGGACTGGTATGAGGAAAAGAAGGATGGCCCGCGGGATCTTCGGCGCCCCCAAAGACCAGCTGCGGCTGGAGACACGACCCCTCTGTCGTCCAGCCCCTCCAAAAACATGCGACGTCTGTGGTCAGAATACCCTCTTTATGGAGGTCTGAACTTTGTCATGGGAGGTGAACAAGTTGACATGTTTGTGCATGCCCTTGATGAATGGCTCTCCAAACAGCAGGCCCTTAGCCAGGGAACCCAATTCTTTTGATCCCAGCTCTGACAGTTTGTTGTCCATTCGGAGCAGGGCTGCCTTCCTGCGCTC